TTAAAGACCTGAGTAGCAGTTTGCATTTTCACTTGCTTGTTACCAGTCTAGCTCATCTGTTTTTAAGCCCTCTTGGGTGTTGAGTTGTCTCTGAAATCAGTGCTGGGAATAGGGTGAGGAGAGTATTAAATCTGAGCCAGAGCAAGAGGTTATTTTGCTCTCCATACTGGAATTATACACATATGTGGTTGTGTGTGTATTTCTACCTAGCCAATTTACTGTTTGCTTTCAAAGAGCATGTTCCCATTAATTGCTATTAAAATATTTTGTCATGTATTTACAATTCCTGTGCACTCCTCTGATTTTCCACCTTGATGAAAACTGAAAAAAGGCAAAATTTTAAACTCTTTCATGGGATGAGCCATAAAGAGGAGTGGGATTTGCATGCATGTATTTTGTACCAGGAGGGATTAAATGTGGCTGTCCTCGAAGGAAGCACTTTTTAGCAAGACAATGAAAAACTCAACAAATTTTAGCAATAAACCATAGTCAACTGAAGATCAAAGGCATTATGTGAAGTGCAGAAATGAAAAGGAGAGAGAGAGACTGGTACTGCCTTTGAAATAAAGAGTATTTTTATGGGCACATGGTATTTGCAGGGCACAGACTTCTCTATGATTCTGATTCAAGTAATGTGATAATGCTGGTAAATGTTGTAGGCAAGTTATTTCATCTGACTTTTTTTAGTCTGTCTTAGCATGTCTTCAGGAAGACCATAGGGTTCATCAGACATCCCATGATCTCAAGGTTCAGTCTCAGAATCAAAAGAGATAGGGACCCTGAGAAGACCTTTGTATATGGTACTGTGGAAAATCTGATGTCCTGAGCAAGAATTCCCTTCAGTAGTTTGTGAGAGCTATTAAAAAACAAACAAACAAAAAAAAGCAAGGTCAAAGTTCAGTTGTGAACAGGTTAAAAAGGTGCTGAGGGTCTTGTTTTGAGGTAGAAATAATTTTTGTGTCCCTTTTTCCATTATTTTTAGCCCTTTCACAGTGTAAGAGTAGCCCATAGTCCAACAACTTGCATGTGTGTGTGGATGTTAGGGGAATGGAACAGGTCAAATAATTTGACAGCTACTTCTGTTTGCTAAATATATATATGTATTTCTGCTTCTTTAAAATTTATTGATGACTTCTGGTTAAATTAGGTGAAAAACATACCTGGAAATAATTCCGAGAAAAAATTGAGATATCAAAACATTTTCCATTATACTTTGAAAAATAAAATTTTTATATTTAAAATAAAACAAAAGAACTTTTTCTTTTATTTTTTAAGGTTGAATGAAACATTACTTTTGCTTTGAAATGGTTTTCTTAGGGACCATTTTCCTCTTTTCAGAAAAATTAAACTCTTTTGGTCTAACACCAAATTATTAAAAATCTGTAACAGGAAAAAAAAAAAGGATGCAATCAGAGAGTGAAAAAAAATTTCTTTGCACATCTGGTAAGGTCACACAGAGAGACATTTTCACATTTGGTTCTGAAGGCAGGCTCTAGAGTGGAGCTGAGTGGAGTGTAATATTTTGGCCCAGGATGTTTTTACTCATGAACAATTTTCATTTAAAAAAAAAGCATCAAATGTGCATGTTCCTGAAAATGATTTGTAGAAGATTCTTCAAATGTTGTTACCTTCGTCTATAAGCAAAGTGATTTTCAAATCTTCTGAGAGGCAAGGCCACTCTGAAAAAAACAGATTTAATACTCTCTTTTTGTAGAAATAAATATTTTTAGAGAGATTGATGAAGTTATTGTCTAGTAGTTTTCAGAGGCTGAAATATAACAAATAATTTGGGGGAAGATAGTGAACAGCACTGAACAGTTCACTACTTCAAGTGGACCTTCTAGCTGATGACTCGTTTTCTTGCAATGATATGGCTTTGCTAACTAAAGGTCGTATTGTTGACCTGACCTCTATTTCCCAAGTGCCTTCCTCATTTTTGAAAAAGGGAGTTGGCCTGCAAGTCATCTGAATGACATGAAGTTCCTGGCCCTCAGTCCTTTGAGATCACAGAATCACTAAGGTTGGAAAGGACCTTCAAGATCATCAAGTCCAACCATTAATCCAGCGCCACCATGTCCCCTAAACCATGTCTTGAAGCGCCACATCCACACGTTTTTTGAACACTTCCAGAGATGGCAACTCCACCATACCCCGGCCAGCCTGTTCCAATGCTTGACCACCCTCTCAGTGAAGAAATTTTTCCTAATATGCAATCTAAATCTCCCCTGGAACAACTTGAGGACATTTCCTCTTGTCCTATTGCTGGTTACTTGGGAGAAGAGACCAACACCCACCTCACCACAATCCCCTCTCAGGGAGTTGTAGAGAGCGATGAGGTCTCCCCTCAGCCTCCTCTTCTCCAGACTAAACAACCCCAGTTCCCTCAGCCGCTCCTCATAAGACTTGTGCTCCAGCCCTCTCCCCAGCTCCGTTGCCCTCCTCTGGACACGCTCCAGCACCTCAACATCCTTCTTGTCGTGAGGGGCCCAACACTGAACACAGTACTCAAGGTGCGGCCTCACCAGTGCCGAGTACAGGGGCATAATCATTTCCCTACTGTACTCTCACAAACCCTAGGTATCCTCTCAAGACGTCCATCCATCTGTTTTTCATTGAACAACAGAAAAGCACCCTGTAGATGGAGAAAAGTTATTGCATCAGGGAACTTCTCCTGACTGCTGTGCAATCTCCCCTGTGCTCCTGGGAAGCAAAGAGGGGAGGAAGAACAGAAATAGTTCTGTGTGGTTGTTGTTGTTATCCTCCTCAGCTTCCTCTTCATGAGGAAGAGAGCTTGAGCTTTTGGAGATGAGAGATGGTGCTGAGGACTATGTAGGAAGGGAAGGGGTGGAGGTGTTGGCTGGGACATTTGGAGGAGGGCCGGGGGAGATTTGGGTGCCCAGAGTCTGGAGCGGGGGGGAGGGAAGGAGTGTACCTTAGGAGAGGTGGAGAAAGGGAAGTACCTGGCTGGCTAAGAAGTGATGAAGGTGAAAATAAATTTGCTTTGGGGAGATAGAGTGGGGGAAAAAAAAAATTTGTGATTCTCAGTTCTAGCACACAAGTTGTCAGCCTGACAGTCAGCTCTTTATATTTTAAATTCCTGATGGTGACTCTACTCCACAGACTAAATGCTGCTGCCTGGTGCAGTCTTAGTTCCTGCGGACAGAGTCATCTGCCCTCTGTGCAGAGAAACCCAGCACGCTGCTTCGGACTTGCTCTCTGCAGCGTACCGTTCTTCCTTTGATCCTCGTCTCCCAGCTGGGAGGAACCACATCAGCCCTGCAACTCACGGGCCCTCTAGGAAAGGAACTGAGGAAGGGTTTAGCTGCACACGTAGGCTGAGGTGAAAATACTTCTCGGGAGAAAACGGCAGATTTGTTGTTCTGTATTCTTCAGGTGGTAAGAGAAAACAAATGCAAGATTTGAAAAAAAAGTCTTGTTACAACTTGCTTTTTATATATACTGTCTAATTGTGCATTAAAAAAAAAAAAAGCAGCGGCAATGGTAAAGTCAGTATCAGATTTGCAAAATTAACATTCCCTTTGAACCTCCAGAAAACAACCCCAGCCAGCCAAACAACAACAGCAACAACAAAATATTAAATCCCCCGATCCAAGAAAAAATCAGAAAGCAAAACACCCCCAGGAAAAGTAAACTAATAAAATAACCTTCACAAAATCCCTGCCCACAGCAGCATTTTAATCCAAAAAAGAGGGTAGAAAAAGCCATGGATTCCCTTAAGTTATGAGAAGATTTGCTATTGCCGGTGATTTTACGGGGAGGGCGCTTGGACGCTGCCCTGGCGGGCAGGAATATAAAGCCGCGAGACAGATCTACATCTGCAAACAGAGCACTTCAAATAATTTACAAATGCACCTTGGCTTTGTTTCCTTTTAAATTGCAAACAGTTCATAAGCCACTTTTGAATTTTAGTCTGCATCTGCATTCTGATTTTCTCTGCGGCGTAAATGGCCAGTCTTGTTAAAACGTTTTTTTTTTTTTTTTTTTTTAATGTGCGAGACGCGGAGGGGGAAATGCTCTGAGCGCAGCGCCCAGGCTAGGATTGCAAAGGAAGCTGAGGCCTCCAGCCCTGCACAGGAAGCAATCTTAGAGCAGGCCTTAAATGCCAGATTCCAGGCAGAGTTTAACTAACCACTGACAGCTCTGTAAACAAAGCAGGGACAAAAAGAGAACAGCTTTCCCTTTTCTGGTAGTCATTTTTGGTTTGGGGGCTGCAGGGGAATTCTGTAATACTCGGCTTGATGGGATATAAACCAAGGCTGGGAAGGCTTTGTATATGAAGAACTGTAAAGGGGAAACTATTTCATGGACTAAATCATAAAGAAGAAGGTAGGGCATGAGGAAAACGCGTGGATTAAACTAAAAAAAAAAAAATTGCTACTTTTGGTTCTTTGAGCAGGATTTATACACAGCTTGGCTCCTCCTGGGTGGTATTTAAAAGCTGTGGCTTATTTTCCTTTTCTCTTCTGTCCTCTTTTCCTTTTCTCTTCTTTCCCTTTTCTCTTCTTTTCTTCTTCTCCCTTTTTTTGAAAGGGGGGGTGGACGGACAGATGGGGACTAACTTTTGCAGAACTTTTAATTATCTGTGCAACTAAAGAAAATAAGAAATCTCTTGTGTAGCGTTTTTACTGCTTCCAGTAAAAATTGGAAGCTTAAAGTTAAAATCCT